ATATATATATATATATATATATATATATATATATAATTGCAAAAGGAGTGGACATTTATCTAATGTAGTCTGAAATATTCAATATCATTCGCCTCCTCTATCCCAGCCTAAATTTTATACCCAAATTTCGATATCATCAAAGCCATTGTCTCATGAGAGAAAATATTAATTTTAGCAATGCAAAAGATTGGGAGAACAGGAGAGCCACCGAAACGAACTGTTAGTTGTTCATCATAGAAGAGAAGAAAGAAGCAGAAAATAATAGAAATCTGGTTCCATTTTTTACCTTTGAAATACACAAACAACTATAAAAACATTTGTAATGTGCACAAAAATCCTTCACTATTGTCATTATCTAAACAGATTAAGAAAAACTTAATTTGTTGTAACGCTATAACAAAGATGTTTGAAATCCTTAAAATTTTTCTTACAAAAAATTTTCAAGAATTTGTTTAAAGAACTCAAGTAAAAGCGTCACAAAGGCAACACTGTTTCCATGCATTACCAATTTGATGGCAAAATATACAGCAAAAAAAAGTAGCAAAAGATTGCCTTACAAAAAAACAGTGATCAGAAAAATAGAAAATCAAAAAGATACAAGACCATTGCAGTCATTGACAGTAAACCAATAAATGACCAATTGTAAGCGTTGAAAATTTTTTTTACTTAACAGTCAAAAAGATGTAATAGACACAAACTGGTAACTTGTCCAAATTCAATTGCTTTCTCGTTTCTTTAGTATTGTCATTTTGAATTTTCTTCAACATTCCCTCTTTTTTCTGCATACATACATATTTGTGTATTGATAGCAGATTTGTGAAACCAATATTTAAGCACTTTGAACCCTTTCAAAATTAGAACTGCCTGCTAGCTGGGATGACCACGCTTTAAGTAACCACAACAGCAGTACTCGATGATTAACTAAACCTCTTGCTTTCTTTCAAACAACATAAAACTCTCGTTCCTCCACTTTTCCTCTCTTTTTAACATTACATCATAACTCCAAGAAAAACCTCACACTAAATAACTGTATATCGCTTCATCTTTTAGTCTTTTTCAATCTGTCAGCTCTCTTATTACTCTAAAATAAACTATTCTTAAGACTGCAATAATTTCTACAAACTCATAATTGATTAAAACTTACCCGAAATAGAAATTTTTTCAAGCTCTACTCATCCCTCTTGTGCAAAATACATTTTTTTTT